CACCTGCAGGGGATGATCTACCGCAAGCCCAGCCAGACCAGCGTCTACCTGCAGGAGTGGGACATCCCCTTCGAGCAGGTGGAGCTGGGGGACCCCATCGGGCAGGGACGCTGGGGCAAGGTCTACAAGGGCAAGTGGCACGGGGAGGTGGCCATCAGGCTGCTGGAGATCGATGGCAACAACCAGGACCACCTCAAGCTCTTCAAGAAGGAGGTCATGAACTACAGACAGACCCGGCACGAGAACGTGGTGCTGTTCATGGGAGCCTGCATGAACCCCCCTCACCTGGCCATCATTACCAGGCAAGGACGGAGCTCCTTACTCTTATGTTCGATACATATCTATCACACAGCTAGCTACTGTGTTTTTTAATCTATTAAAACTTCCTGTAGCTTCTGCAAAGGAAGGACACTGCACTCCTTTGTGAGGGACCCCAAGATCTCCCTGGACATCAACAAAACCAGGCAGATAGCACAGGAGATCATTAAGGTAAGGGCTCGTTCTGCTAACGGAGACATCAGGCAGTGGCTCAGCCAGAGTTCTGAGGCTGCACACCAGACTGGGAGCTGCTCCCTCACACCTCCCTGACAGGGCACACAGCTGCCCTGTCCCCAGAACAGCTCATCATTCACACTGCAGCTGCAGGAGGAGATGTACATTAGAGCACAGAGTGTGCTTGGAAATAGTCAGACACCCAAACATTTCCATCTCTGCTGTACTTCCCAGGGCATGGGGTATCTCCACGCAAAGGGGATTGTCCACAAGGATCTGAAATCCAAGAACGTTTTCTATGACAATGGGAAAGTTGTGATCACTGACTTTGGACTGTTTGGAATTTCAGGCGTGGTTCAAGAAGGAAGGTAAGTGGAGGTTCCACTGCTTGTCCACCTGTAGAGTGACAAGTAGCAATCAAATGGGGAATGTTTCCTGCATTCTGCAGCACATGAGGAGTGTCAGTTCTTTAGTGCACGTTCAGTTTGGACTGTGCATTTTTTCTTTGTTTTCTTTTTGAGCAGAGCTCTTCCTACTGTTCCAGTAGCACAGAACTAGAAAGTTTTGGGTGGATTGAGAACTAACAGAACTCTGAGCCCAAGAATGAGCTGGGGAGTCAGGCTGACACTGCTTATTTGTTAATGTGGCAAGGAAATTAGAAACAAAATGTCAGCAGCAGCATTTGGGTACATCAAGTCAAAGCATCAGGTGAAGTACAGGTATGGCCTGCACACCTGTGCTTCAGTAGTGCTGCTTTCCTTTGGACTCAGGAGGGAGAATGAGCTGAAGCTGCCTCACGACTGGTTGTGCTACCTGGCCCCCGAGATCGTGCGCGAGATGGCCCCGGGGAAGGATGAAGACAAGCTGCCTTTCTCCAAAGCGGCAGATATCTACGCCTTTGGGTAAGGAAGGAGCACCCAGAGTACCCCAGGAGCTTGCTAAGTGAGATTGGTTACAGGGCTGAGACCTCCAGTGAGTGTTCCCCTGCTCACAGGCTCAGGATTCCACCTGGGACACATCTCCTCTGAGCTGTGGGTGGGAGGGGTTTGCTGCACAGCCTCATGCACCTCCCAGGCTGAGCTGAAGGAGCTGAGCAGTGCCAGGTTTTGCCTGTCCTGCAGAGCAGGCCGAGGCTCAGGGTGTTGGTGTTGCAGGACCGTGTGGTACGAGCTGCAGGCGCGCGAGTGGCCGTTCAAGAACCAGCCCGCGGAGGCTCTCATCTGGCAGATCGGCAGCGGAGAGGGCGTCAGACAAGTCCTTGCAACTGTCAGTCTGGGCAAGGAGGTCAACGTAAGTACCTGGGGTCAGGAACCTTCCATACAGCTGTTTATCAGGAGGAGAGGGAGCGGCTGCAGGAGGTGTATTGTACTCACGTTAGAACTCTGAAGGGCGGGAAGGAGAACGGGAGACCGGGCTAGAGGCTGAGCCTGTGCCCGAGGCTGAGCCTGTGCCCGTGGCTGTTGTGCAGAAATGCACATCCCCCGCACCAGGAGCCTGTTGGATTCCAGCAGTGTCCAGGGCCCCACTGAGCAGCCCCTGCCAGGGCTCACACACCCCCAGTGCTCAGGGTGCTGCTCTGCACACTTGACCCGTGAACTGGGTGAGGTAACGAGCCACAATGTCCCCTGCAGGAAATCCTCTCGGCGTGCTGGGCCTTCGAGCTGGGTGAGAGGCCCAGCTTCACCGTCCTCATGGAGATGCTTGAAAAACTGCCAAAACTGAACCGCCGGCTCTCCCACCCGGGGCACTTCTGGAAGTCTGCTGAGTGAGTACCTGCTGCTGCTGGGAGTGTTTGTGCCACTCGGTGTGCTGACTGTTCATTCCTGAGCTTTACTGGCTGTCCTGGGGCTGTCAGACCTGGCAGGATGGTAACACTGTGCTCTTCTGGGAAATGATTGATTAGCTGTTTGCCTCAGTTTCCTGCTTTACCATATTCACCTCCTCCTCCCCTGCGTTACTCACCCAGCTTTGTTTGCTGTCAGAGTATCTGCCCCAGCACTGGGGTGCCCATGCTGACCCCAGTGGTCAGAACTTCCCAGTAATGGTATTGGCAGGTACTGCCTGAGGAAGGGAAGGACTCAGGAATGTGCCACCATTCCCCTTGGAAGTGGTTCAGGCTGGATGAGTGTGAAGCCACAGAAACATTTACTCCCAGTGCACATTCACCATGTCCCTAGCTCAGTGTTTACTTTCAACTCATGAACTGCCCATATTTGTTCTCTTTTTTCTCTTTTCTGATATTTAACCTACCCCTTCCATTCCCATGACCCTTCACGTTCTTCCTGCAACACCTGACCATAACCACCCAACACCTGTTTGCTGACAGGTGACTGTGCCAGCAGTTTGGGCTCTGGTGGATCTGGGGGTTTTGGGTTCAAAATTTTGATACCTCTCTTGTGCAATTTCCCCACTGTTGGTGCTGTGATGTCCAACAGCCTTAAGCTGTGGATTCTCCAAGACTCTGGCCCCGCTTTTGTGCAAAGAGCACTCGCTGGGCAGAGCTCTGGGATCTCTCTTCACAGTGCACAGGTGCATGTATCACTGCAGTTTTTGAAAGAGGCACTCACAGGGTTCACCCCCAGCAAGAGCCTCTGTGTGCTGCACACAGAGCTTCAGCCCTGCTGAGCTCCACTGGCTGGGTTGGAAAGACAAAAACTTACAGAGAATCCAACAAAATCTGGGCTAGGAGATGGACGTGCAGGTAATTGCTGCTTCTCTGTTCTCTGCTCCTAATGTAAGGAAACAATGTTTTTTCCTTTCTGGCCTGAAGCATCCCAGACCCTGTTCCGGGCACAGCTTGCCTTGGTCCGTGCTCAGCTCCCTGAGTCTCTGCTGTTCCATTACACATTCCTTCGAGGCATCCAGGCCAATTTGCCAAGTGATTATTTCGGATTAGTGTTTCCGTGGGGAGTTGCTCCTGAATAGCCTGTGGAACTGCAGAATGAGGCAATGCACAGTAGCTACCCCAGATGTTTCTGCCTGGGTGGATGGACTGACACCCCCTCCATCCCCACATGGTTCATGGCAATTTGCATACTTTGCTTCTTTTTGTCTTCTTGGAGCATTTAACAGGGGAGAATTACTCGATCAGTATTAATTACTGGCACTGACGGCTGGTGGGGCACAGCAGCACCATTGCTCGTCCCCTGCACTGGGCTCTGGGCCTGGGGGAGGCTCCTGCAGCCTCAGCCCCACTCAGGGTCACCCCCCAGAGACATCTCCACTGCACCCCCTGACAGAGCCTGTCACACTCACTAACTCCTGCTCCAGCCTGGTCTCAGCTTCGCAATACGTCCTTCTCCAGGGCTTGCTTTAAATAACTGAAAACTAACTCTCATGGTGTCTTTTTCCCTTCCCTCCCGTATTTCTCTGTAGGTTGTAGCTACTGGTGCAATAACGGGCTCCACCTTGCATGCTTCCATGTGTCGATTCCTAACCGGCAACTTGGACAATCACCTTCCATTCCAAAAGCAAAACCAAACCACGAAATTAACCTATGGACATAATCAACACTTTATCCGAGTTCTCCTTTCTGCCTTTCGCTTGGTGTGGGCTGTTAGCTTCAATAACCACTCCTGTCTGTGAGACCTCCTGGCTAACACGGCGCCGCGCTCCGCGGGGCACGGGGCCTGCCCCGACCCCAGTTACAGCCTCAGGCTGTGCCTGTCCCTCAGTGCTGGAGCTTTGGGACTGAAGGTGACAGTACATTGCCACAGACACAGCCGTGACTGAACCTCCTCTTTACTGCAAACCAGCAGGAGCTGAGGGCCGGGTCGGGCTGGTTCTCCCTCGGGCCCAGGGCCAGCATTACATCCAGGGTCAAGTTTTGTCAGGGCCAGTTCTTGAGTGGAAGGAAGGATGGTCCTTGCTCCACTTGGAGCAGCCTGAGGTCCTTAGCCCAGCAGGAACCAGGCCATGGGTAGTGTCCAGAACAGGCCCATGGAGCTCAGCTGGGATCAGCTGCAAAGCTGTCTAAACGAGGAGGAAAGCCTCAGCTCCTCCTCCCCTCACAGACCTAGCGCTCACAATGTCATGGTTTGCCTCTGTTTACATCCCCTGGTCAGCAACATGCCTCTGTGGGGCTTGGCAGAGCCGTGGGTACCACAGCAAACATGTGCCTTGTAGGAAAGGTCTTTGTCACTGTTTTGGAGGGGAGAGGACAGGGGGAGAGGAGGACACGCAGCAAGGACCAGGTGGGTTTCTGCTGCCTGAGGACAGACACACTCACATCCATTCCCTGAGTCTCCTGCAAGAGCTGACGCTGGGACCGTGCTCTGCTGTCACCCGAGCGTGGGGTGAAACTGCAAGAGCGAGGGAAGAGTGAGACCTTTGTGTGCTGGCTACAGCCTAGAGAGGAGCAAATGGGTTTGGGTGTGTTCTGTTGGGGTTTTTGGCCACCAGATGTACCTTGTCAAACCTTTTCCTTACAAGGGAAATCCTGTCAGTCAGTTTTTCCTTCCCTTCTACTCCAAGGGAACCAAGTGCCCACTGAAAACCAGTGTTGGGCTTCCACCCATCGCAGGTACCTTGGAGAGCCTCCTGTTCCTCCTGCTGGAGCAGATGGGACTGTGCTGAGTTTCCCTCCCATGATGAGGTTCACATGAGTAACTTCACGTGTTTGCAGCTTAATTCCTTGAGCCTCTGTTGGTGGTCTGAGTGGCCTGAGAACAGACCCTAACCCATGCTGTTCCTGTGATGGGGCTGTAGCTCTGTAAGAAGAATTATGAGTAACTCTT